ATGTATATATTACTTGTACTTATATACGAAGTTCATGATTCAATTTTTACCCATATTTACATAAAGTCTGCTTGGAAATTTGTGAGTGCATATATATTTAGACGGACATAAATTTTATCAAACAGTAAATTGAGGCTATCTCGGCAAAATATTGTGTCACCCCATGAAATACATATAGAAGATAAATTTAAAATGAGGAATTTAAAATTAATTTAATATTAGTAATAATATATTACCAATATATATTTATTAAATATTTTTTAGACATGTAAATAGCATCCAAATATAATTAGTATCATTTAAAATAATATTGTAGAAAAAAAATTAAAAGTGCGTTACACTACTTCTGCGCTGAGAGCCTCAATTATGGAACATCGAAAAATTTAAATCATTTAATTATTAAAAAACATATACACAAAACAATTGAAAACTCTTTCTATTTTTAAAATTGGTTTGTATACATCGGAAGATTCGATTTTCAAATTGATTAGAGTTGGGAGAAGAGGAAAATCGTTAAGTCAGGGTTTCGGCTCAAGGGTCGTCACGTCCGAGGCTGTACAGTGTTCCTCATGCCAGAGGTGCGGTTTCGATTAGTCGCTGCGTGACTCCAAGATGCATGGAGCGTGTACGGTACTGAATTCGGATAAAGACATTAATTGTTGCCAAAATTAAAGGTATATTGTACTTAATATTACGTAATATATCGCGATTATTGCTTTCCCTTTCTATTCTGCCATTTACGTTAGTTCTTTAAAGAATATTAATTCATTGTAGAGCGACGAAGTAGATATAAGTTACTGAATAGGATAGAAGCATTTTCAATGTCAAAATATTATAATTTAAAATATAATTTCAAGGTATAATTATGATCGTCACTAATATGTATAAACAAGAATAATTACTCTAAAACAAAGTAGTTTAGTTAAAAAATATAAATAAATGTAAATTATTGGCGAAATATTACGACTTTAAATAAAAATAAAATTACAAACATAAAAATAATGATGGAATTCATTATCCAATAAAAGGAATTTTAGACGTTTTGCCGTTTGCAACCCTTCTTTTTGTGTATATGTTCGTAGAATTGAAGATCAACGGATTTTAATTTTCCCGCGTTTCGTACATTGCATTGGTACTGAAATTTCGTTTCGACATTTTTATGGCGGACGGCTATGGAGTGGGATTCCCTGCCTGCAGATGTGTCCCCTGAACGGTATAACTCGGGCCTTTATAGTGCGAGAGTGAATAGGCATTATTTAGGTGTACATAACCCATCGTCGAACTCATCGTCACTTTCCATAAGTGGTGTTCCATAAAAGTTGCCTCTACTAACCGTTATCTACATGCTTTGATTTCGATTATAGTACGTCTAATTTTCATATTCAAACTATTGTAAGGGTTTTACCAGTACTGTATGGATTCTCCTACGTAAATCCTGTGTCTATTAGCACAACTTTTTTGTTATAGTTTAACACATTTATCTGAGCAATATTTTAGTCAAACATCCGGCGTTTGTTGTCAAAGCCCGAAGGGAAGTTGGTTTTTCCGATAAGAACAAAGGCAAACAGTGACAATACCTTTTCGAGTCAATATTCACAGGTCCTTTAACATCATTTTTGTTCCTTGTGACTTGCGAGTAGCCCAAATGTACTACATTTTTTATACTACACTACATTATCGAATAATACATAAAATAGATATACCCAACATTGAAAAGAAAATTCAAAAGACTTTTTTAAGATTCTTATAAGTCAATTTATGGGTGCGTCCATTTGTATACCCTACGAAATTCCTCCTTGGGGTCTAGGGAAATTTTTCGGAAGTACCTAAGACATAATTTTGGTCCGATGAATATTGCTGGTAGAATCTTGTGAGGAGATTCTGTTGGCCCAGAATTAGAAGCGCAACTGGTGCGCCTGTTTGTCCCCCCCGCTAAATAAATTTAATCTGCGGCCACGTGGTCACCATCTTCTGACAGTGCCGGCGGTGCGTACTGTGTCACACAGTAAGACACTACTTGTTCGCGCTCTATACTGTTTTAATGCGCTTCTCGTATCTGCACCAAAGAGATGAGAGGATGGATGCGGCTATCATCTGCGTTTTGCTATTAATATTATCTAGTCATTGAATTTCGCAGTGCCTTGGTGATTTACTATAATACTGTGTAATTTTATGACACAAATAAGAATAAATAAATTAAATAACATGTCACGTCACCAAGATCATTCACACCTCCATTGAATACTCACGTGAAATCTTCTTTTTACATAGGTACTGGCGGTGCCCTTTTTAGATTTCACCTGTATTTATCTTAGAAGAAGTAGATTTCCTTGTGAAAGAGTTCCTCCAGGGAAGTACTGCCACCTTATCTATTTCTACCGTCAAGCAGTAATGTGAGCATTACTGCGAGTCGGTATTGACGGGTAAGTATGCTGGTAACATTACAGGCACATGGAACTTGTCAACTTATGTCTCAGGGTGACACTGACAGGCGTAGCAGCAGTATTAGATTTTTGCGATAAAAAAGACACCAGGCGCACGACTTGTTCGTCCCGTCAGTTGGTATTATTAAAAAAATCTAGTTTCCAACTTAGAAATGTTAGATGCGTCTGCAGATTCTGACATTCAACGATTGTGGGAGTACAAGTTGAGAAAGTACAAGTTTTCGTATTACATTTTAAATGTTGATGTTGCAGAACAGGTATCCGAAAGGGACAAATACTCGTATACATGTAATATAGACAAGGTGTTAGTGTGTATATAAGATTACAACAAATTATAATATTATTACATTATTGCTAGGTGTATGATTATGAATACAAAGAACAATTATTAAAGGAGCATCGTTTATAGTCGATTTAAACTGTTCGGACGATGACTTATGTCGATTGTTTCTTTAATACGAACGAGTATAACAGTATACTCGTAGTACATAATTATACGTACATAACACTTAGCACGGTAAATTGTATGGTGGTTTGTTGATTAAATCAGAAATCAGAATATTTACTAGTGTGAAACAGTTTTTTTTTTCATATAGTCATCTCTATTTATTTACTCCTATGAACAATCGTATCAGAAACTCACGGTTAGGGCGCTAAACAAAGATGGTAGGCGATTGCTCCATCGATCGACAACGGGAGCGTAGCTCCTAAAGATAGATGGTAAATATGAATAAAAAAATCGTTGTCATTATTATTATATATACCTAGAAAAAAATTATCCGATCTGGCCGGATCCGAACCGACGTCTTCTAGCAAACCGAGGCAGACGCTATGCTAACTAAGCCACGGAACGAACCAGCAGACCTTACGAATTTTTCTATGTGCTTGTTGTCGTATCTATGTACTTGGTTTTTCAACAACTTTTTTAGCCGTAGCGCCATCTGTGAGAAATCTATGAAAGTATTTCGTCTTAATAATTCGTATTAATAATTATAACAAACTAGTGGAGAACATTCATAAAAAAAATTTAATGTCATTTCAATAAAAATTTAAAAAAAGAATCTTATCAACAATTTAAAGAAATCAGTATGTCTGAGAGTCTAGAAGAATTTTACGTTTGAATCTTATTTTTTAACACGGCGTAGAGTAATCTTGTGATGTATTGTATATTGACCTATTTAAATATAAATAATGGAAAACACGATAATGACTTACAATAATTTTCTTGATAGTGGCAATGACGTTGTCGCTTATCAAAAATTTATTTAAGTAACAATAAAACAAAGCAAAGATCGAATCACATAATAAGGGTCATTGTTCTCATATATATTTGACACTTCAGTATCTACGTACACCGCGTTACGAAGCTTGACGTACACCACATTATAGAAAACAAATAAATTTTAAAATGGAGACTGCCTGGACGTAAACGATAGAACTAGTGGGAACGATTGACGTAGTACAGGACGGTACAGCGGCCCTCCCCAGTTAGCGGAATGCTTTGCGTAGTATGACTGTTCTCTCTCATGCAAATTGAATAGGGTATACTAATTCGAAAAATGATTATGCTATTAGGTGAACATCAAAATCATCGATTATGGAATGTTACACATTCGTTAGGTCGATATTATATGAGATTGTTAATTCGGTATCGGTATCATTCGATGACGGTATCATTTGTATCCTAGTGCTCTTATATGGAGTAAATAATCATTTAACCCTACACCATTTATTTTAGGCATGATATCCTATAGATCATATCCATATTCTATCATATCCTATAAAAGAGAGGCGAAAATTGGCGCTTCTAAAATATATTTTTGACTTAATAAGATTGTAGCCTGTATGTGATCTCAGCTTCTTCTCCTTGACTTCTAAGAGCCCTAATGATGTACTTGTAGAGGCTTATCATTTCTTGACATATCGGGATCTTGTTTCAAAGGCATAGTGGTGCTCGGTAGCTTCGACATTCTGAATTTCTCCGCAAAAATGTATGCGCCCAAACAATTTTCACACAACAGTCTAAATTTACCAGAGAAATGGGACATCCTCTCGTGTCAAGCATTTTGATGGGAATGACGACTGATAGAATAAACGTAAGTATAGTGAACGAAAAGAGAATTCGAGAACGATTAAAAATTTCAAAAAGAGGATGATAAAAATGTGGGATAACGACGTAGGAGGTCAGCATCGTCATAAGAGGATGTCTCATTAACTCTCCTCTATGAGTTCAAATTCCTATTTCTATCCCATCAGGCTAAGGCGGACACCATTCGACGAAGCTATAGCCTTGATCGAGTCTCTAAATACGACTAATAATAGGTACTGACGGGTTCAGGAACACAATCAAAATTTCTAACATGCCCTGGTTAATATTTGGAGACGGTCAACACCCAAAGCTCTGTGGTTCGAATTCCGCAATTTGCTTTTAGTCGATGATCGACTCAACCCTTATATTATGAGTATGACTTACATGTTTGGTTATAAGTAAGTACTGTTAATGTAAGTTGTACAAAATAAATATTTTTTTTTAATGAATACTCATTTTATTTATAGACCATGGGTTTGACACCAGCGTTCTCCAAGCGACTGTTAACCTTCATCCAGGACGCGATGCCACTCCGGCTGAAGGAGGTGCACTTTGTCAAACAGCCCATGATTTTCAACGTCGTGTGGAACATGTTCAAGCCGTTCATCCGTGAGAAGCTTAAGACCAGAGTAAGTGATTTTTATTTATGTAGTATTTAACGTTCTTTTTTAACAAATAACATTGGAAGAAAATCCGAGACGCTGGCGATGAGGAGAACGGGAAAAATACTCAATAATTTTGAACATTTATTATAAAATTTTGAAAAATATAGAATTAATTATTCGTTCGCTTACGTACGTAATTTTACGTTTGTAAGCAAATACAGAAAAAAATAAAATATTGATAAGTTAATTTTCACTCTCTGAGGACATTGCCCTATGTGTAAGTCCAAGCGCACATGCTTTGCGGAGATGTAACCATTGATTATCCTCCATGTCTATTATAGATCTTCTTCCACGGCTCCAAGATGGCATCCCTTCACAAGCACCTTGCGCCAAGCCACCTTCCTGCAGACTACGGCGGCGAGCTCCCTACTTTGGACTACTCTGGCGCCGAATGGTACCCTGTTATAAACGAAATTCTGCCTCACATACAAAACTGGAATTCCTACGGGTTCGCAAAGAAAGCGTAGAATAGCATTTAATTATTTTTATTTTTTAATATTATAAGTATTTTATTAAATACTTTAGCAAACACAAATTTTTTTTACACTGCCATTCAGTGTTATTTCGGTCATTCTCGGGCATGTTAACGTGTTATATTTTTTAATATTCGAATATAGCATCGTACTATAATGTACTTGAATACTTAAATACCTAATAAAAATTGCCACTGAAATAAGGCAGAGAGTACAAAACTGAGAATGAGTCATTACCTCTTTCCTACGTTCCGTTACTTCTTAATATTTGTAACATACCAAACGTGAATTATTTTTACAAAATGTTGTGTTTGCTAAAGTTTATTGTAAATTAGACATTTGCCATAATCGAGGTTCTGAGCAGTTGGGAGAGTTCATATTAATATTAGCAGGGTTCTTATAGTATCGCTATTGATATTGCAAGATAATTTGTAGCCTTAAAAAACGAGCTGACCTAGTGGTAGCTAATTACTGTAGCCGAATTTAGTTTGCGGGAAAAGTAAAAGCCTGAACAAACGTTACGAATTACTGAAGTTATTAAAAAATGTACGGCAATTCTGTGACTATTCTTTAGCAGCTTTACGATACTGAGTTAAAATATGTGGTAGGAATAATTAATAGAAAATTCTGTTCCTAATAATGGGTAGGACGATTTAAATAAGGAATTGACTTCTGACAATAAGTAAATTCCATATACGACTAAATATCAGTAGATATGAGTACCGGTATGTTAAAGGGTAGCTAATTGTTTTTCTTTATGTTGAGTACAATCTGAGCATGGTTTTGGTGCTACAAAAACGGGTTATTCCCGTCTGATCCCCAAAACTGATCCACCGCCAATTTTAAATTGCAACGGATCCCCTCTATATTTTGCAACTCCCAATGGATCCCCTCACTGTATTAGTAAGGTAAGTACAGACAAGAGAAAAAGAAGTTTTGAAATCAAAGTTAATAGAGTTATGTAAGTTAGTACAGTGAATGTTGTTCATTTCTAATAAACTAAATAAATAAAATACAGCACAACCCTCAAATACATTTTCTTGTTGACTGTACCACAGTACCTACCAAAAATAACCTTGTAAGTAACAGGGTATCAGGGGGGAATAAAATATTAATATGTATTCTCGATTCCCTGCATTAGGGATCCGACGGGAATAGAAAATATTTTAAAATGAAACGGATCCCCCAGGGATCGGTTTTAGGAGATCAGATGGGAATAAGCCACAAAAATGTTTATATATTTTATGGCATTATCTAGCTCTATTTAAGTAGATAATTATGTTCTTACGTTCGAATAAAGAGGTTTTGTGAGCGATAATCATGACACGTGTTTCAGCGTATATGAAAATACTTTTCTTTATATGTATTTTGTACCTAATTAAGTTCCAAAAACGTTATTTACTAGTGATGTTTTAGGTACTGTGGCTGTGAGACGTACTGTGCCAGTTGTACCATGTTCACCAAAATTAGTTAGTTTTAAATGTCATTGTATTAGTAAGTATTTAGTGGCGTAACAACACATGATCTAAGCGAATTTGTAAACTATTCTTTTGAAATAATTGTGGTCGTAGTTGTTTTATAATTATTTATATCAATAGGTAACATTAGTTGTGTGTTATCGCGTGTAAGATCCTGAGGTCTACTTGACCTGGATACTCTTCGCCACAAGCCAGTCCCGCGTTGTTTCGCCACTGTCAGTGTTTATTTAAAATTTGTGTTTAAAAACGCCTGGTAATTTTTATAAGCAACGACTTTTAGTGGCTTTAAGTTCTGCTCTTCCAACATTTTGTGTGTTGTACCAAATAAATCATTCCAAAAATAATATTTTGTACCGAATTGAATGACATTATACTGTACTTTGGAAATTAAAAATATACTACACTTGCTCAATGTTTTTGTACGATAGTATGTGACATAGCTCGGTGTTTTAAGAAATTGTTTTATTTCGACATATTATACAAGTAAAGGTCTTTGATAAATTAAATTTCGGTTTTTTATTGCCTTGTTGTGTCAAAAAAAGAGATTTTAGTAGAGTTCCTTGCGTGCAGTTTTATCCCCAGAACGGCATCTATAACTTGGGCCTTTTCAAGGCGAGAGTGAATAGACATTATTTAGATTGCTTGCTCCATCGTCGATTTCATCGTCACTTTATGTGTGTGATATGTTATCACAAAAAGACGCAAAGACTTGGATGAAGCACTAAAATTAGAAGAAGGATCAAGCCATATCCATCTATCCAAGCAATTAAGAAACAGATATAAGTATTTCTTTCCTAGAAACACTCTATTTAAATTTTATTTAGTATACAGTAGACTATACACTAAAAAGAGCAACTAGCTTTTTTTTATAGGAAATGAAACTATTTTTCCGGATTTAAATCGCGTATATTTGTTTTTTCAAACAAACCGACGTTTCGGGCCCTCTACAGGTCCCATGGTCACGGTTGACTGAGGTGGTACAGTCTTCAACCAGTTATGTCTAGTATTGATGCAAACCACCCTATTTTTACACTATAGTTACAATAGTTATTAATTAAATACCTTATTTTTAATTTTACAAAGAAAACATTCCAATTTACGCTATATTAAGTTTTACAAATTATTTTATCGAATGAATTTTTATTAAGTTCAATTTATTATTAATTATTAATAGAAATTAGAATAAACTAAAACATATTAATTAGTACTGCAGTCTTATGTCTGTTTGGGATTTTTCATTAGAGGAAATACTGGATCCCAAACTGGTGGCACGGAGAAACCATCTTCACTGTTGAAATTAGGATGTTTTTATCCACACGCAAAATAGGCGCTTTGTCGTCGAGTTGCGGATACCAGCCCGTTGCACCAAGTACCAAGTAGGATGTTTTTTAATTTCAATGGCCTCTCGCAGCATCCTGGGTAGATAACGGACTTCTTTTGCAAGGACCTGGGGTTTGTCAAACTTCATTGAATGTGTAGGTTTATCCATGACATGCTCGCAGACTGCAGACTTGTTTACGCGACGGTGTTTGACATCAGCTATATGTTCTTTGACGCGGGTACAAATACTTCGCTTTGTTTGTCCAATATAAGAGAGACCGCACTCACAGTCAAGCTTGTAAACTCCTGCATCCTGTAAGGGGATGTTACATTTCACGGGTCTCAGGAACTGAGAAATCTTCCCCAGGGGCTTGAAATAGGTCTTGATGCGCGCCTGAGGACTCTTCCGATCTTGTCTGTAACACCTCTCATGTAAGGTAAGATGGCAGGTCTTCGCTCGACTGTTGGTGGTTTCACGCGGGGCCTGTGGCATTGGCGTGGAATCTTCAACTTATTCGCATATAGGACTTGCTTTATATGTTGAAGTTCCCCTGCCAGATGATTACTGTCGCAGACACCACGTGCTCTCTGAAACAAAGATTTGCCCACGGTAGCTAACTGGCTAGGATGGTGATGGGAATTACCATTGAGATACCTATCTGTATGGGTTTTCTTTCGAAATACAGTATGGCCTAAGGTGTTATTAGGATTTCTTTTAATTAAAACATCTAAGAAAGCTAAAGTACCACAATTCTCTTGTTCCATAGTAAATTGGATCTTAGTACTAAAAGAAACTAAAAGAATTAAGATGGTCCAAGAAAGAAGGTACGCTATCTTTAGGTAATATTGTGAAAGTATCAACGTACCGTTTGAAAATCTTCGGCCTAGCTGGGGCCATGGGTAAAACTCGCTCCTCGAAGTCTTCCATGAAAATATCGGCAACAACGGGAGATACCGGGGAGCCCATTGCTATACCGTCAATTTGTAGGTAGAATTCATTATTCCACAAGAGATAGGCTGTTTTTTGTGGTGGTACGGTTTCTCCGTACCACCAGTTTGGGAGCCAGTATTTCCTCTAATGAAAAAATCCCAAACATACATAAGACTGCAGTACTAATTTTATGTTTTAGTTTATTCTAATTTCTGTTATTAATTAATAATAAATTCAACTTAATAAATATTCATTCAATAGAATAATTTGTAAAAACTTAATGTAGCGTAAATTGGAATGTTTTCTTTGTAAAATTAAAAATAAGGTATTGAATTAATAACTATTGTAACTATAGTGAAAAAATAGGGTGGTTTGCATCAATATTAGACATAACTGGTTGAAGACTGTACCACCTCAGTCAACCGTGACCATGGGACCTGCAAAGGGCCTGAAACATCGGTTTGTTTGAAAAAAAAAAAACAAATATACTCGATTTAAATCCGGAAAAATAGTTTAATTTCCTATGAGGAAGAAACTTTAGAGGTCGGCTTTTGCCGAAATATAATAACCTGTGTAAATAAAAAATACATCCATCAAATTCCGGATTTAGGCACCATTCCTTCAGATATATCTTGTAACAATGCTCAAACTTTCAATTAAAAAATAATTTATTAAAATTAAAAACATTTAAGTGAAAACATTTTACGTTATTGACAAACTGAATGAGCTAAACAGATCTCCCTCATGGATTTTGTGTTAACCATGATAAATAAACCGAGTTTTCTTATTTATTATTTTATTTATTTTGTACGGCAAACAACGTAACACAAATCTGACAACTTTTGACACTCCTTTCTTATTTCTCCTTAATACCTAATACTTCTCAGCAAAAAGGTAGGAACACAAATAGATTATACATTAAAATACGAAAAATACAACTAATCCCACATATATATACCATGCGTGTCATTAAAATAACTGTGAGAGACAGAAAAGAAAAAATGTCTCTACATTCTATAATCATTCCATCTCTATTACATGGAAGCGATACAAAAATTGACAAAGGAAGTATATGTATGTTGTTTGAATTTCCCCGCCTATTTTTGGGTCAACTGTGTGAATTATTGCTTAGCACTTCAAATGAATCAGTCAATTTTTATATATACAACTGCAAACTAGAACCACGGAGATGACAAATAATTTAGAATAGAATAGAATAGAAATCTTTTATTACTATGCCACAACAAAAATATACACAGTAATAAAATGAAGATAAAAAAAAGATGAAGCTACATTAAAACAAAAAATTAAAATAAAAATAACTGGAAAAAAAGGAATAAAAATAAAATCATACACAACAACAAAGCAAACATGCAATATTTAACACAATTGTGTTGTACAACAAAATGTTGAGTGTGTGCGTTAAAAAAAAAAAGAAAAATTAGATTAAGTGTCATGTGCGTGGCTGTGGCGTATGTAACAGGATCCCACTCAGCTATTGTCACCACCGAGAAAAGGCTGTGACGCTGATTTTCAGTGGACCCTAAAAATATTTTCAAATTTTCCAAACTATTTGTGCCTAAATTTTTTAACGAGCAAATAGGCTTCAATATTTTTTTCTCATTTTGTACAGTCAACTTGTACAATTTTGTTGTTGTTGTTCATAGAATAAAATATGGTACAAGTATATTTACTTGATATTCAAATGAATATGTAAACAATAAGAAAAATTTAAGTTTTCTGCCTCAATCCAAAGCAAGAGAACGATTATAGGTACATAATAGCTGGTTGGATAATCAATAAAGGTTTATTATTATTATTATATCTAATAAAATGCAAGAACATTGGAAGCACACTCAATATGAAAGCAAATGTCTGCCATAAAACATAGAAAATATAATGACACACCGATCAGAGAAGGAAATAGTCGACGCTGTCATCATGGTTATTGGGCACAAGTGAGCGTCCACTGTGGGCTCCACGAGTAGTGGGACACCGTAAGATGCGCGTGCGCAGTACCCGGTCAGTACGTTCCGACGCCGCTGTGGGTCGAACCTCTTTCCGGCCTCTTCATATATATTTACCTACACGCTCGTTTCAAAAGTTTCGGCAGCTTTCACCAATGCTTTTTTGGATATTTTGCGCACACAAGAAGTTGTAAAATTATTCATCAAATTATAATTAGTTTAGTTTAATTTTGAAATATTATATTTGGCAGAAAATAATATATGGGCGGTGTTTTGGAATAAATAATTGTGATTCAGTAACGGTGAACTGAGCAAAACTGTGTCAGATTACGATTAGTTAAAAACGAGTGAAGGGTTCGGTAGTGACGACATTATAACACACTCAACAAGTTGATCTTGCGTCTTTGGACTTGTTGACACCGATACAAGAAAACTTGTACAACAAAAAACAAAGAGGAAATAATTGTTAAATATGACAATGGAGATCCATTATGATGAAAATGGTACTCCGTATGTAGACTGGGGAGGAAACACAATAAGATTGGAGAAAGAACCTATTACTGAAAAGGTTCTTATAGAAAAGGCAGAAAAAGAACTGAGAGAGACACCAGAAATTCGAGAGCAGGCGCTGCGGGAACTAAGGGAATTATTAAAAGGTGTTTTTAATTTTTATTTTTATAAAGGTTTTTACAAACTCTTCCAAATCGTTTGTATTGACGTTTTTTAATGTATTATTATAATTTTCTATAATACCAAGTAGCAGGGCGAACAAGTCCTGTGCATGTTGATAAGCGATACGCCTTTCCATAACAGTTGCAGTGCCACTCAGAACTTTGAAACGCAAAGATCTGAGGGGCACTGGTTCTGCGCCTGTCGCCTTGAGACATATGTCGACAAGTCCAATGTGTCTGTAATTTCATCAACACCCTTTACTCTTCAAAACCGGAACTTAGTAATGCTCACATTATTGCTTGGCGGCAGAAATAGGTAAAGTTCTTTCCTTGGCGAACTCTTTCAAAAGGAGCTCTACTGCTACTATCATTAATTAAGGGATTAGAATAGTAATAATCTAATTTAGCAAAGTTTATTCACAATGTATAATACAGTTTTATTTCTACGTTACCTTTTAATATTTATCTTTTTCCTTAATTATTATCGTTTGGTAACGATAAATAATCAATTAGCGTATCCAATCCATTTGATGCTAAACCTATCCAATCTTTTGTAATGTAATCATAAACGTATTCTATATTTTCTGCTATTTCGTGATTTTTCCTTCTTTGTTAAGTAAATAAATATTTACATATTTTTATGTTAGTGCTTGCATTTTTACACACATTTATGGCGTTCGCTATTGAATATAAAGTGCATATACTAGTATTTATGTGGTCTGTGAGTGCATATAATTAACCCGTTGAAATTTTGCTATTACATAATATATTTACCAATGTCTAATGACATTTATACAATGTATTTGTCAATTGAGTAGCACGGTCGATTACAGTTCGCTATTCAATAATGGCTGTTTAAAAATTGAAAATTATTGCCACTTGACCATGCACTTGACCGATTTTAGATACAAACTTTGAATTTTGGAAAAATGTGCTGTAGAAAGTATTTATTATGGACCATTAAGTAGAGCAGCAGTTTAAAAAAGTGACAGTAGTTTGTACAGCTTTGCCGCATTAACTTATGCGGGTATATGGCATAAATAAATATACCCTACACTATATTTTGCGTCTACATCAGAAAACAATAAACATTTTGTAATAATATCATTAAATTTGAACAAAGCTCGATTTACTATTGTAAATCGAGTAAACTAAACACTTATTAGTGTTTAGTTGTAAATAGTTTTTGCCCTCGATTTCGGGCATTAATGGGTTTTAATCCGATTTAAGCCCGGTAAGCGTCGGGTACTTGCTCATCTCTGTACGTAGAAATGGAAATTAGAATTGGTATTTAAGCCAATGGCTGGTGCTTAAGTGTTTGAAATGTAAATAATATCACAATTTTGGCTGTTATGTTAGTAGGTCTTACAAACCGCGTTCCACTTAAAAGTAAAATGTGCCTCAAAAAGTGATCACTTTATACAACGAAAAGTATTTTTGTAATGGCGGTAAACATTTACAATAATTTACCGTAAGTACATACTAAGGTCTGAGAAAAACCTTATGCTATTTAAAAAAACAATTAAACTACTATAGAATAACAGTGTTCATTGTCTAATTTTTGACATTTATGTATTTATTTTGACGTTTATAAAATTATTAATATTATTTTGACATCTAGTTATCATTAAATTTGACCCATCCTATCACCACGTTTCAAATTATTGACTGAATTATTTAATCCTTGTGTGTGACATTATTAAAAAAAAAAACACTGGTTTAGTCTGTTGAAGTGCATGTGTGTTATTGTATAATATGCCTTCAATATGTTTGTGTGCATAATATTTGGCCGGATAAAGTGAAACTATACTTATTTTGTACAAGTCATCAGCTTCCATATGGCTCAACTCACACTGGCGCAGAGTCGAAGTGTCGCGACGCGTCATGTTTTTCGCCTATAGCATATTCATCTCCATTGTCCCATTATTAAAGCACAAATTTATGTTATACCAATACGAAGTCAAGCGCCGCGCGTTGCTTGAGCGCAGTGAGGCGTCCGACGCCGACCACACTGTGATCCGGGCGCACTAATACGAGCGATGTCGCGTTGCCAGGCGTTGTAGTTGAAAAACAGAACGCGACGCGACGCTTCGACTCTGCGCCAGTGTGAGTTGAGCCTTAAGGTAACCTGTGTTTTCACAAACAATGAATTATGAATTTCGAACGAATTTATGTCATTATATACTTACTTCTATTTCTCGTTCAGTTTTTACTTACTGTTTTCCATGCTCTAAGGTTTTTACTATAATAATCATTTTTAAACCAAATGGTGATTTTTTTAAAGTAAAATGTTAAATAAATTTCATCGTTTCATGGAAAAAATTATAAAAAGTTAATTAGTAGCAGTGTAGCCTATTTCTACCGTCAAGCAGTAATGTGAGTATTACTGCTCTCCGGTTTTGAAGAGTAAGGGTGCTGGTGAAATTACAGGCACATGAGGTGACGGGCCCAGTGGGAGTGCCCCTCAGATCTATGCGATTTAAAGTTCTGAGTGGCGCTGCAACTGTTGTGGACAGGCGTGTCGCTTTTCACCAGGCCACCACTACCACTTGTTCGTACCTTCACTTGGTATCATAAAAAAAAAATATATAGTTCTGTATGAATGAATTTTTGTAAGAGCAATTAATAATTATAACAAACTACTTAGTGGAGTAATTTCACAAAAATCAATTGCATATCATGGTAGTAAAACATCGCAACAACACAAATACAAATCATTCAACATAAACTGAAATCATTAATAAACGACTCTTTATACGCAATAACTGCTTTTTAAATTTGACCTCTCTTAACGAAGGTCCATTGGCACTAATGCGGACAACGGATAACACTTTTCATTGCAATGTATGAGAGAAGCATATCAATTAAGGAACAGTCGCTATTATCTAATTCTATACATATATTGAATGTTTCTCTATTTGTACTTATATCTATAGATAAGAATATTGATCATTAATTTACTTTATCCAACATTTTATAGCAAGAAATTCGTTTAACCGCTGTGTCATTTTATTTTTAACCGATTTCAGAAAAGGAGGAAGTTCTTAATGCGAATGTATAGGAAACGAAACTATTTTTCCGATTTTAAATCGCGTATATTTGTTTTTTTCAAACAAACCGATGTTTCGGGCCCTTTACATGTCTCATAGTCACGGTTGACTGTACAGTTTTTGTGTACGTTACGCGATTACTACGGTATTTGTGAACCGATTTTGATGATTATTTTTTCATTGGTCCCATTTAAATTTGAAGAAAATATTCCACCTCTAATGGGGACAAATTAGGGGGTGAATCCGGTTTTGTGCACTTTTCGGTAACCAATTTCAATAAAACTTAACAAATAGATGTAATTCCACGAATTTTTCAGGTCGGTTTTTGTTTATAAAAAAGTTATAATTATAATGTAAGTAGTATTTTACAGTGTACCTATATGTATTTGTATAAGCGCCAAAAGCAAAATTAACAATTTTCTTTTCTTTTTCCTTTATAAATACCTAATAATAGACAGATAACAGTGCCACCACGCTAATTATCCGGTCTCAAAATTAAATTTGCGCTATACGTGCACCCAAGGTTACTAACCTTTTGAGAATCGGATGAAGTTTGTGCAAACGGGCTGATCTGGGGTCTGGACCGACTGAGAAGGTCCCTATGCGAGTTTGCTTGCAAAGGTTATATTGCCCTTTTCGTATCCTCTGAGGCTCGGTAGATAGAGAGCCACTATATCAAAACTTATGTAGAAAGAAATGATGTTTGGTCTAAATGGTAAAAAAACTTGTTTTGTTAGAAAAAAAGTGCCTCACAATTGAGTACACAGGCAACAATCCAGCAGTGTGGTCAAATGGTTGGATTTCATACATTTTTCGTAATTTACGACCTTCTTGCGTAATATTATGCAACTTTTGTTTTGAAGACAATTTTCGTAACTTTTGAGGACGTTGAGATTTTTAAAATCAGCTATATAGTTATAAACTTAACCTTATTATTTTACGAATGCAACCAAATAGACAAAAAAGTAATTCCGTGGTGGCGCCAACAAAATGGAGTCAACCAATTACTTGTTGGTTATAGCTTGAGTTTTCTTGAGCGTAGGTACTCTTACTTTTTATTTTTAGGATTTAGGCGTATTATAATATACCTTTCAGAGTTAGAATTTTTAATTGAAAAAAACGCACTTGTAAAATGAAGTTTTTGCAGCAAAAATGTAACTTTCAGATAACGAAATGTAGTTTTTGCCAAACGACTCTGGCAACAATGCTACCCAGAACACCCAGACTCTGCTCAGTTAGACTTATTTAGAGAAATATATATATAGAGTGCTGTTACCGCTGGGTCACCCACAACCTGTCATTGGGTTGACAGGTTGTCAAACATTTATTGTTATTATTACATGTTTATTTTGTACGCAGAATTCTATAGAACGCAAGATTTATATAAGGGGATACAATTCCCGAATGTTTAAAACTTCTTTACACTAAACTTGTTCATAAATATCTTGAACTGAGGGGTTAAGTTTTTAAACGACTTGACAAAATAGGCATATATATTTTACATACTTGTATTAATAGTTTTTCGACAAGTTTACCTCTTAAAAGCTATTAAGATACTATTGTTGTAGGATGCCATATACAAACAACTCTAATAATGTTAATAAGTCTGCGATAAATGAATCTTCGTCTTTATATAGGTGTAAGGAAGTAAGTGCATGTGCACTACCATAAATAATACATATGTATTGACTCTGGTTTGAATTTTGCTGCCATAAAAATTGTGCCGAATCATTTGTCAGGGCTTAGGTGCCAATACCTTTTTTTTTTGCCAATACCTACATGTAAGATTATTTCTAAGGTCTTGTAGACATAACAAAATGTTTCTTTTTTTAATTAATAGTTTATATCGGCTTTGGTTATTATTGAATATGTCAGCCTCATTAATCAAACAATACATGAAAACAACACAACAGATAAATCAAAGTACTTTCTAAAACGATATGAAAACTCAATACAATAAATAATTATTTATTGTCGCAATTTGATTGCAACTTTACATATATTTACCTTAAGGGGTTTGTGACGAACTGCTGAGTTCACCGGGATCCCCTGGGGGATTGAGCTAAGGGACCCTGGTGGATTGAACGAACTTAACATGTATACAAAATTTTCGCGGCACTACTTGTTGGTTCAGACAAAACGTATACCCACCATAAAATGCACCAAAACCTATCTGTGCAAATAACCGCAGAACACACTCCATGAGTACATAAAGTATGTACATCCTAAGGAATTTTATACACTTCGCATTTTGGACACCTTCGTCATACCGAAGAAAATGCGCGCTGACAATTTATGTTTCTTCATTTTTATGTGAAAGAAACGAACACTTAGCCGTTAACTCAAATAACGTTAAGCGACGATGTGAGCTACGATATGGCAGACTTTGTGACCGACGATCCTAATGCGTTTGTTTAATAAATGCCTATTCGCATTGAATAGCCCTAAACTGTACTTTTCGGGAAACCTATTATTCTAATTTGCCGTGTAGTTTTCGGTTGGTTTTAGATACAATATATTCCTTTGCAGAAACCTTCTTTAAAATGTGTTATTTACTATAATACTGTCCCTTAATATATCAATATGAATCTTGAGACAGCACGTTATTTAAGAACACGTTAAAATTTATGACGTTTGTGCAATTGATAGATTCATATCATCACTTAACACAAGATTGCCAAATTATTTCATAAAATTGACGGTTTGAATGTAAGTACCTAACATACACGTTTAAAAATTTTTACAAAAACAAATTGCTAAACAGCATTGAGGAAAAGTATTGAATATCGTACCGAATAACGTTAGCAATATAAATAAAACTAAAAATAAATTTTATTTCCAAACAAAGTTCTTGCGGCAGAACCAGTTTATCTTTGAATAAATTATATGTCAGTGAGTTTGTTGCACCGTGTCATGGACACTGCTCAAAATTATTATCGATATATTATTTTTCAGGTACAATCTGTAAGATGCAGCTTAAAATCATTTGTTCTATTTTGTTTCGTTTCATCAAAATTTAAGTATGTTATACATAGATTAATGATGTATAATGTTCTAATTACATATTTTAACACTTTTCAGCCGAGAAGTCATTGATCATACCGAGTGAAAAAGATGATTTTCTTTTAAAATTTCTCCGGCCGTGTAAGTTTTATGCGACGAGTGCTTTAAAAAGGGTAAGAATTTAGTTATGAAAGTGATTATGATATCTAGGTTTATTTTTACACAACTTGACTTTCAAAACTAAAGTCCAATTTACTTTCACCATGTGTCAACCTTACGACAAAACCCAAAACTAAAATTAAGACTTTAAAAAGGCATACGATACGGTCAGCCGGTCAGCAGCTCATCAAACTCAAAGATAGTGGGATGACAATAATATGAGCATATTATTTGATTTGCATCCTTCTTGGCAAATCATAACCAAGTAGTAAGAATTGGCTTGAAACAAAGTACATCTAAATGTATCTATTACAGCGTGCTCCAAGGATCATTACTAGGACTGCTTTTGCTCCTCACCTACGTCTATAATGTCCATTAAAACCAATATTAAGGGAAACATAACTTCGTACGTCAATAACACCTGTTTACTCTGCTTTGTACACTTTATTGAAACATTAACTTTCACCATTACTATTACAATTTTAGTATTAACATTAAATATTTTATTATGTCTAATAAAAAAACTATTTAATAAAATTATGTTTCGTGACTTAATAATGTTTTGTTTTAACAATGTTTAAGAATTTGTCATATTGATTATAATGAATATTATGATGTTCTATTGTATAATCATGATATTAATTTGTTTTTTGTGAAGTTACTCCACTAGTTTTTTATAATTATTAATACAAACATCGAACGTAAAGAAAAGGTCCTTCGATCTGACAAGAGTCGAACCTGTATCTGTGCCAAACTAGGTCCCCCTGTACACAAAAAATAAATGAATATCACGGTGCGTAAACATCGTAGGTAATATTCATTACAATCAATATTACAATTTATAAAGCGAGAACTCTCGTCAACCTCCGGTAGCTTTACCTGGTTGAGTAAAGAAAATCCTTCATAGATTTCTCACAGGTTCTCTCATAATTATAATGATATATTGGCAGATACAAGCCTACTACAAATTTCGAAGAAGTCATTCGGATTACTGCCGCGACCTGATGCCATCTACCATCCGCTCGGCTTTCAACCACAACATCGTGTCCATTCTGGCTCCTCGGGACCAGCACGGTCGCCGTATTATGTTCGTTGAGTCTGGTGGTAAGTGTAAAACAAATAATAATAATAAAACAAATATTTTAAGTTTTAAATGCAGTCATTGACAACGTTGCCTAGGTAATGAAAATTAGAAAATACAATACAGAGCAGAATTTTTTTCTAGATTTCAATACAACGAATGATTTATTATTTAACACTGGTTGAATATGACCGTCAATACAAATAACTCTCATTGGTCATATCAGTATGACAAGCGAGTATGACCACCAATTATCGGCCTGATTTCTGGTTTACGGCATTTATTAGTCCCTGAGTAAATAATTTATTACCCCTTTTGTACCATTTCTTCGTTAAGTCAGCCGTGACCATGGGACACGAAGGGCTCGAAACGTTGATTTTTTTGAAAAAAACGAATGTACAGATGTAGTTCCGAAAAAATTGTTTCTTTTCTAATGTCTAATATATAAGTAATATAGAAATTTTATGATGTCGAAATCTTTTGTTCGGTAAAGAGCAAAAATATTTGTAGTTTATGCGTTTTACACATTATGTTGGCTAGCGATTTTCATATTGCATTCTCTTCTGCTCATTGTCCACGAAACTCAGAATAGATAGGTAGTTCAACTATAAATGAAAAGTATAAAAAAGCTATATATTTTCTCTCGGACTATTCAGAATATTCATCTAGTTGGCACTCCAATTGAATTAGGGTTTCTAATTGGACTGTACACCTAGTTGTATTGGATTCGTGCCTGGCTGACTTATGTACATACAAGAACGGTGCAACAACTAAACACGTGACAATGAATATCCGAGTCGTTCGGAGGATTATAATTGTATACACAGCTTGTCCTTATTTATATTTACAATGTTCGCGACCAGAGGAGACAGTTACTATAAAGCATTATCTTGTCTTTTCTTCTTGACGTTACAGCGTAGGTAGTTTTTTAGGCGATTGGCGAATTGTACTCCGAGCTGAGCTTCCACCTTGCTTATACCGAGTTATGCAGTGATGTGGATCGGAACTGAGACCTTGGATTGGGTTTCACAGTGTGTGATCGGGATTCGGGATTCGGGACTGCGGCGTGCTAAGCAAGAGGGTGGCTTTACATTTAAGCTTATACAGCTGTGATGTAGATCGGAAGTGAGATCTCGGGGAGGGTTTACACAGTGGGTAATCGAGACAGCGTCCTGAGGAAGAGTCTGCAATTGACGCGCGAAACTAGCGCGCGTACAACGGACCTAAAAATGGTCATAAAACAAAGCGTGAGTTGGCGTTGGCGGGTTACTACCAGCGCTGCGCAACGGCAACCCTTTTTGAGAATTACATAATGTTTGGGGTGCTACAAAATATATTTTTATAAGCAAAAACTATTAATTTAACATCAAAAGGTAACGTGTGACCACGTGCTCTATATGACAGAAAGGAACAAACAAAAGATTCATTCGTATTCATGTAATGACGAGACAGACGCGACGGTGTAACTGTTATCATTATCTTGAAAAGTGACAGATTAACTTGAATATTATGCAAGCAATATTTACAAAAAGCTAAAGTATACTAAAATTTTGTCTAGTTTTAACATTTAATAAATCTGTTGCCTATTCTACTTTTGATTCTTATTTTGTTTCAGTTTCCGAAGCAAATCAATCGATTTTTATACGAGTATGTACACATTTTTCAGCACTTTGGAACCCGCGCGATGTGCCCTTGTCTGAAGTATTCCGTGGCGTGCAGCTAGGTTTGGAATCCGCTATGGTGGAACCACGAACGCAAGTTTGCGGAGTCATCACCATCATCGATATGAAGGGTCTTTCCTTCTCGCAAGTGTTGCAGTTTACTCCTTCTTTTGCTAAGATGGTCGTCGATTGGATACAGGTACGCTTGGAAATGACTACAATTATGTATATCGAGTTCTTAGGTTTTCGCGATTGTTAGACATAGGAAAGAAAACTATTTTTTCGGATTTAAATCGCGTATTAATATTGACTGTGACCTACCAATCATGAACATGGGACCTGTAAAGGGCCCGAAACGTCGGTTTTTGAAAAAACAAATATACGCGACTTAAATATGGAAAAATAGTTTCAATTCCTACAATTATGTATTTAACTTAAATTTAAAATTTGTATATAAACTGGGGAAAAAATGGATTTTACTACCCTATCAAGAAGGATAGTTTGTTGTTGGAACAAGTGTTTACTTTTAAATATTCACGTAATTTACTCGTTCTTATACAATTGCTGGAAGTGGACTGGAGTGAATTGTTTTTATTTTCGTAGTATACGAGTATTAGTTTGTGTACAAGGTATGATAGCGGTTAAAAAGATATCGAATGAAGAGTTAAAAAGGTATATGCAGTGAATGGAGTCATGAATGGAATGATGTGTAGTCAATATATGTCTGAGAAGGCACGAATGGTGGTGCATAATGTTGTGTCGGTTTCAGTGATCTGCGGTTTCAATATTGCTTATGGGAAATTTGTATATGTTAGAAGAGACACAAGAGTAGAATTTTATTAGCAGTAGAGCTCCTTGTGATAGAGTTTGTCCAGGGTAGTACTGCCATCTTACCTACCTTATTTCCTTATTTCTATATTACCTTATTTCTGCCGCCAAGCAGTAATGTCAGCATTACTGTGTTCCGCTTTTGAAGGGTTACATGGGACTTGTCAATTACGTTTGAGGGTGAGGAGCGCAGTGGCAATGCCCCTCAGATCTTTGCAATTTTAATCTCTGAGTGGCACTGTAACTGTTATGGACTGGCGTGTAGCTTACCATCAGGCGCACAAATTAGTGATGAAAGAGACTCAGTCTTTTATATACATAGAAGAATATTAATAACTGGTGTTCTTCTATATATAATATATAATAATCGAGAGTGTTCTTAAGAAGGCTGCAGTGCTTATGGAGAAGAATAATAAGGCTTGTATGAAACGATTGATTGAATGAAGCAAGAGAGGTTTATTATGCTCATGCTAGGTAGCGATCGACACTTCCTACCTATTTAAATAAGAATCCGAGGGCGTTTAAGTGTTTGTAGATCAATAGCAAGAAACTGTTGCGCAGAGTAACGGAATTAAGGATACATAAAAATGAGTAGTCTTATTTTTCACACATTGTGCCTCCGAGCCAGTACAAAGAGCATTGTGTATTGTACGGATATGAAGTAGCGTCCTCGTACAAAACTCCGGAAGCAGTGGTGTACGCGTTCATCTACCGAGTATCGTACGCGCCAAGGCTAAATAATCACCAGACCGTAGGATTAATTTTTAAATAAGTTACTTAGTAAGCACTCAATAAGTATTTATTGTTGTTTTTATTGTTGGAACAAAACGAAACGGCTGTACGTGTTTCCAGATTGTGTTTAATTGAGATCATTATTCATATTGTCTTGGTCGACTTTGTTATAATAGGCACTTGTTATCGTTTTATCCTTTTAAATGCATAAATACATGTCATTGGAGGTGACTAGGCAGATATCACATGTCTCCGTATGTCACGATCGTGACGAGGTACTTCTTTCGTTTCCTCTATCAATAATGTCACGTATAGCACATGAAATTTTAAAGGACGCAAGATTCATTACGAACCGTAGGATAATGATTACGTGAATTAGCGTCGATGCTGATTAGACTCTTATCTTTGCTTAGTGGCAGTAACTCTGATACTATTATTAACGGAGTTCAAGTGGTCACACAGGAAAGTCAGAACATAACAGTTCGCGTCCGCCTTTGTCAAGTTTATGAACTTTAAAAATGTTCTTTAAGTGTTCGCCCGGAAAAATACTGCCAGCTTACCTATTTCTGCCGCCAAGCAGTAATGTGAGCATTACTGCGTTCCGATTTTGGAGGGTAAGAGTGCTGGTGAAATTACAGGCACATGGGACTTGTCAACTTATGTCCCAGGGTGACGGTCGCAGTGGCAGTGCCTCTCAGATCTTTGCGATTTAAAGCTCTGAGTGGCACCGCAACTGTTATAGACAGGGGTGGTACTCAACACCAGGCGCACGACTTGTTCGTCCTGTCACTTGATATTATAAAAAAATTAATATAAACTGCATTGATATTATGCTTATTAAGTTTTGAAACTTGAATAAAAAATTGTTTGAAATCGAATTTAGTAACCACTTATACGGTTCTATTGGAGGATAAAAAAGTTTCTTGGGTTTTTTAAAGGCATCCATCACGATTTTTGACGACCTCAGTGGTCGAGTGACATGCGCACCGGTTTCCATGGTGTTGCCATCTCCGAGGTCCCGGGTTCGATCCCCGGCCGGGTCAAAGTAGAAACTAACTTTTCTATATTGTCTCGGGTCTGAGTGTTTGTGGTACCGTCGTTGTTTCCGATTTCTGTAACACAAGTGCTTTAGCCACTTACTTTGGGATCAGAACAACGTATTTATTTTTGTTTATTTAATAATTTATTGTGCAGGAAAACACAAATCACAGTAAAACGGAAAATACAAGCAAAAGGTAACTATTTCTAAAAGAGGGTATTTAGGTATTAAAGATAGTATTTAGGTATTCTTCTTCCGGCAAACCAAAACACAGGACAAAATAATTACAATAACTGGTTTACGTACACAATAAAACAAAATTAAATTATGTAATAAAATAATGATAAAAAAAACAATAGCAAAAATATTAAATTACTACAGACTATATAAATATTCAAGTTCAAGCTTATTTTAGTTCGTTCTTCAGTATAATAGCAGGAATCAGCATAGTCTAGTAGGGTAAAATAAGAGATTGAGCTAAATAGACTTTGGATTTCAAAGGCAAAAAGTTTGGAGGTGCAAGCGAGAGCAAGGAGAAATGGACTTTTCGACTGACTTCATTAATATGTGGAGTCCAAGCTAAATTACAATCCACAAGCAGACCAAGATTAGCAGCAGTAGAAGTATATTAGGCAATAGGCGTTGAATTCTACTGTATAATTTGGACAGAATCAATGTCCAATGTGCCACATATATGCTCACTTCCTACAATCATGGTCTGCGACTTTTTGGGTTTTACCAACATGCCAAAAGACTCAGTCCAATGAGCGATGTTTCTTAAATCAGCGTTAACCGCTTATGTGATGTTGTCCAATATTTATATTTTTACATAACAAGATGTAAAAATACAATCATCACGTTATAATCTAGTAAAATATAATTTATTTTACTTTCAGGATTGCATACCAATTCGTTTGAAAGCCGTCCATATAGTGAACCAGCCGTACATCTTCAACATGCTGTTTGCGGTGTTCAAGCCTTTTCTGCGAGAGAAACTGCGCTCGCGCATATTTTTCCACGGCAACAGTCCGAATTTGCTGAATCACGTCGACGCTATAGCGCTGAGAAAAAGACATGGAGGGCTTTTGCCTGAACCCGAAATATCAGGCGACGTTCTGTGGAAAATGCTTTATCATTATGAGGAAGATTTCAAATGTAAGTATAGTCATACATATAAAGAATTGGTTCTTAAAGTTAAAAGATCAATATCGTAATGTTAAAAGATATATTTAGAGTACGATTCAATAAAAATTCTGGTGGTTCACAGTTCAACGTTGTGAGATCATCCATATTATATACCTACGCTAAGCCAAAATCCCAAAATTTGTTTTTTATGAAAAAGTTATTAAGTGATAGCAAGGTCAAAAGGTTCTCGATTTAGGATTATAGCTCGTCTGCGGCATTACTTAAGTATCTAAACTTTTTCTCTAACAGATTTTTTTTTATTTCAGTGGCGAATTCGTATGGCTTTGCCGACAACAATAACAAGTGACTATCTAATAGAGGTAAAAAAAATGACTTTCGAAACGTTACCTTATAAATATCAGTGTTTTTAAAACTGTCATAGTTTCTGATTCGTATATAAATACTCACTTGGTGATAATTAAAATGAAATGAAAAATAAAAGATAAGGTGACGGTCGCAGTGACAAAGATTTTTGCCATTTGAAGCTCTGAGGGGCACTGCAACTGTTATGGACAGGCGTGTAGCTTACCATCAGAAGTATGACTTGTTCGTCCCATCACTTAATATTATTTAAAAAAAAAATGTGTGTATGAAGTTGCCAGTCCGCATTGAGCCCGCGTGAGAACTACAGCCCAAGCCCTTCCATTGTGAGAAAAGGCCTCTGCCCCTCAGTGGAAATATAGGCTAACTATTATTATTACTATATAATTTTAATATAAAAGTGATAGGATATATAAAAAGACCCAGGGTACAAAATGTTCTTAAGTACAATGTAGGTGCTGTAAAATTGTTTAAAGTCAAAGCTTCGGAATAGTTTGAGTTTTACTCAATAATCTTTTTTTACGTAGGTATACAAGATAATTGGTTTTACGGAAATATGCGAATATAATAATTATTGAGAAGCGCTTTACATCCTAATAATCGTTTTCTATAATTGAACAATAGTTAATTTTGATCTTTGCTTTTATTTTAAATAAATAAATATAAATAAGACGTCTTCCTTCTTCCATTCTTCCTAGAGCTCCTCTCTCTCCCTCCTCACTCTCTCTCATTTGCCTCAAAATAAAGTAGGTAGATATTATTATGTTACTCTTCTGTTCTTCTGTTCTGTTACCCCATCTGACTAAATCTAAGATTCGTACGAATACGTACGTGTAAGGCTATGGAGTAGAATTCCCTGCCTGCAGACTGGTTCTCTGGAAGCTATAACTTGGGCCTTTTTAAGGCGAGAGTGAGTAGGCATAATATAGAGTAGTCACCACAGTTTACATGGTTTTAGTAGCAGTAGAGCTCCTTGTGAAAGAGTTCGTCCAGGGAAGTACTGCTACCTTACCTATTTACATATTTTTTTAATTTTTTTTATTATTTACATATTTATTTACATACTTCTGGAAAAGCTGCTCCCTTCATGCTGAACAAAGTGGTGACCAGCCATTCTGACGTCAGTTAATAATTTTTTTTTTCTCAGACTATATCAAAGGTAGCAATTATTTAGAAAAGGTAGCAAATAGGTAGTAATTCTTGAATATACACTCAGCGCCAGATGCGACAGGCGACCAGCCATCCTGACGGTCACTCTGAGCACCTGGTATGATTAGTCAGATTTAGTAGGCTACTATACGTAGGTATTTTCGATTTTATATGAGAGTGATGTATCTGTTACGTAGTTACTATTAAGTAATCTGTGACTTGGTATCATAAATAAAAGAAAGTTATTAATGCGGAATTGACTCGAGGCGGTCTGAAAATGTTTTCTGTCCACGCAGTAAGAGCAATGAAGATTCCGCCGTCTCACAACGTCTATTAAGCTCTTATTACAAGTACGTAAAGTTTTTGCTGACTGGCTTAGTGCATTCCGTGTTGATAAGTCCACCGCCACTTTCCATCAGTTGAGATGAAGTTTCAAAGAGCACTTTTTCTTAAGGTTTCGAGGCTTCGACTTTAGAAAATATTATATAGTATTTAAGACCTGAGCGGCATAAGTTAGTATTCATCATCGAGTATATAACCAGAAATAGAGACGAAATAAGGGCCATCCATCCCTGGCAAGGTAAATGAACCTTACACCAGTTTTAAATATCAACTCTCGTTTGCGCTGAAACCACAAATTAGAAAGCTGAAATAGTACAGCGCCAATAACTGACATGTGTGTACGTCTCCGTATATTCCAAAAATATTATGCATTTTTTGTAATAAAGATAGTATCTCAAACTATAGGGGGCTGTTCCATTCGGTGGTGTGGGAAAAACAGCAAACATCTAATTAAAAAACAAACGGAATCACATTTCATTTCATCCGTAATTAAATATAAAATAGGTAATTTTCCAATTTTTGTCCATTATAGAAAAGCTCAAGTTAAACTTGTCGATTAGAAGGGAAATAATTGACGACACCCGTAAATTGTTTCGAATTCGGGCTGGCCAATTGAAGCGCAGTTGTCACCGTAATGATTTGGCAGAATAGTTTTCAAACAAATTAAATGACATTTCATCTCTATTTCTAGTTATATTCTCGATAGTGTTACTTTTTTTAAATCTGTTATATCTTCTTATCGGATCGATGGAATACACTATAATGCTTGTCATCAGGGTGAAAGCATTTGCCAATTGGCGTAATGTACTGACCACGTGCACTCCAATGTGTTATATAAGTTACAATTAATCAATTATAGTTAGATAATTTTGTTTGGTATACAATACAATATGTGATAATGCGTGATCAATTTCTTTTCTAATCGGGGATTAGTTTTATATATAGTTAATTATAAGATAAAACAGCAGAATAAAAAGATATTTGCATATAAACTCTTTTATTGTAAAAATATGTATTATCTATAGTTACATTCACCTCTAATTACATGTTTATACAAAATGCACCAATACAATATCTAAATTTTGTGATGTAAATATCTTTCAAAATATACATTTGCATATGAAGTAATAATTGCATAATATAATTTTTGTAATGTACGTTGGATCCTTACAATTAAGTACTTACCTACTTTCCTTTTTTTTTATTTTACTACGAATTATCATTCTATCAAAACGATGTACGTTGTTCTATGCGAGGAATAAAATTTCAAACGCAAAATTGTCCACTTTTTACATATGTTTAACTTTACTAACATATTTGTATCGAAAAAGTATCTACTACACGCAGTAGAATAACAAATGAACTCTATTATCTTATAGTCTATATATGATCGAACACAATATATGACCAAACAGAAAAATTCCTACTATCCGGCAGGTTACGAACAAGCGATATTATTCACCAAACCGGGACTATAGGATCGGAGCAGAATCGATAGAAATTTTCTTTTAAGTATGTTCGATTTTTATGTAACAAAGTAATGGAATATTTTAACAAAAAACAAATATAAGAATTATCATGACAGTCAAAAACCTCATGATATTCAATGCTAAAAAAGTGGAAATTTACTCATGAAATTAAATCCTTATCTGAAGGTTGCTGACCATGGCGACTATTATTGTGAAAAAGACACAATTAAAAAATAAACGACAATCTTCGCCAAGTTATAAAATTAATCCAAAGGTTTATGAGTTTAAAAACACTACTGGCAAGTATTAGCCATTATATGTATAATAATACATATTTTTTTAATTGCGCCTAGTTGATTAAAACTTTTATTAAAAAAGAACTAAATTATCTGCATGGATACTGCTGTGCATATAAATCATGTTCTGTTCACAGCCAAGTAAAATATATAAAAGTAAACATGAAAGTTGTATTGTTGCTTTGATTGATATTATTAAATAGAATTCACATTATCAAGTAGAATTCATATTATAAATTAGAAGGCATATTACAAAATAGAATTCATATTCTAAAATAGAATTCATATTATTAAATAGAATTCATATTATAAAATAGAATTCATTTTACAAAATATAATTCATATTATAAAATGGAATAGATATTTAAAAATAAAATTCATATTATAAAATAGAATTCATAATATAAAGTATAAAATACATATTATAAAATAGTATTCATATTATTAGATAGTATTCATATTATAATATAGTGTTCATATCATAAAATAGAAATCATATTATAAAATGTATGTTGACACGGAAACATTAAGAGGGCAGCAAAACAGTACTCATATTATGAAAGTTATTCATTATGCATCTACCAAAATATCAAACTACCTGTAATTAAACTTCGAGATCTGAAGTACTATAGTCATAAAGCTATTCGTGAATATAAAATACAAATATAATCTAAAGAACATTTGATATTTAATGTTTCCTAAATTATTTACAGTAGGTAGTATGGCAATTTAATAGCAGCGAAAATGGTTTAATAAAATGTACTTATAATTTTCGCCAAAAGACCCTTATGGACACATTTGTCTAGAAAGCTAATGGAATGCAGAGGAATATATTTTATAAGCCTATTTTAAAACAACACATCTTTCTTAAAGAAGTTGTTACAAGTTATATAGTTTACAGGAAATAAAGATTCTTTACGTACGTCCGCTTTCAATTGAGTGCGGATGTGAAGCTCATATTATACAGGTTCGGCGATTTATTTGAAGTTTACCATTTTAAAAATAGACGTTCAGAAAAACGATAGGTGTCTGCGATCGCAATGTTCTTTATGGTTTATTGTAATTAAAACAATTTTAGATGAAAGTAATGGTAAGTTTGCGCGCCATAATATCTATGCACTCGTTAGATAGAGCGGACGACCTTATACTTTCATTGATAAAAATAAATAAGAAAAAAATTACTTACAAATTATTTTGTACCTGTCTAATTTGTAGATTGAGCTTTAACTAATTTTAAAACCACGATATGTGCTTAAAATTAAAATATCACATATTCAGATACGAATCTAACAAACTATCTACTTCTCCTTGTTCTTATATCCGTAAGTGTTGATTGCTGAAACATAATAAAACAATGGTTAATATATGGCACTTAGATAAAGACAACGAGAGGAAACAAAGGTTTTAATGAATTTCATTAAAATAATATTCCCAGTGGCTACGAGAAAAACTACCATAGCACCAAAAGGTTTAAGTTGGTGTCGAACGCACTTTATTCTTCAAATGATATAACGGAAAAGCAAGGAAGTTACTATAATACATTTATAGTGAACTAAATTACAAGCATTTAAAATGCTAATACTTATACCTTTAAAATGAACTTATACCTTTAAAATGAAAGTGAACTAATTAAAAAAATTAAGAAAATGAGTTTATACACTAAAACGAGTATAAAAATCATTGTTCATAAGCTGTTAATTTGGAACCGACTCGCCAAGCAATAATGGTACAGACTCTCTGTATGGGTCTTTTTAATATGTATGAAATTCCACTCCTACATGTAAACGCTGCTTAGTGTTGAATCTGTATATGCAAAGACATCACGCCACCACCGTAGGTGACAAAGTGATAGTTAAGCAATTGAACCGATTTAGTTCTGAAAAATCATCATTAATTTTTCACAAACGCGACCTACTTAATTACTTAGAGAACTCTCTTTCGCAATTCAAACAGCTTAAAAATCTTATGAAGATCAGGACGTATTCCTTAGCTAGTGAAAGTGAACGAGGCATAATTCTTGTTAGGTCAAATGACTACAATAAAAAAGTGACCTCATAGCAACTTAACTAAACTTAAATAGCTTACTTTTAGTAAATAGCATTTTTAAAGTTGTTCTATATTAATAAAATGATCAGAAATTATTTTTGAGGATATAAAGTTGAACGTTTTATTATTATTTTCAAGAGTAATAAATTAAATAATGTGAAAATGTCACAACTTCAAAAATTATTTTTCGTATTCCCAAAAGTTGAAATTTTGTGTTGAGTCACTTTCATTCTAAAGGTGCGTAAGTAAAAATCTATATTTTGGAAAAAAATCTCAAAACTCACCAGCGAATTCCTGATCACACATAAGCAAGAGTTCTAACCATTGTGGACCCGTCACGCGTGGTATTGAGAGAGTGCCTCCATAGCACTCTGGTAGGGATTTAGATGAGATGTGTTTATGCAGCGCGTCCCGATCATTGCCCATGAAAATTATGCGAGAACGAAGTTTCTCTTTTAGGAAGGGCTTGAAGAGTTGGAAAACCATGTTGAAAATGTACGGCTGATTCACAATGTATAGACCTTTGATTCGGAGGGGTATGCTTTCCTGAAGAAAAAAAAAAGATTATACATACATACATACATTTTCACCTTAGTGTGTGGCCACATGGCGCAGCTGTACGCCAGTGGTAACTAATGATCTAAAAGTCCTTGGACGATTTAAGCCACCACTTGTATCAATACCATCATCAGGTGGGAATAAAATATTAATATTTATTCTTGATCCCCTGCATTGCGGATCCGATGGGAAAGGAAAATAATATAAAATAAAACGGATCCGCCAGGGGATCAGTTCAAGAGTCACCATAGCTTAATTAAAGAAGTATACCATCTGGACGGGGAAACTAAGCTGGACCGTATAAGTCTCTAGAAAGAGTGATACCCCACGGCATCACTAATCCCGCTGTCGGAACACCTGGGCATGATCTACCTTGGCAAACTTGGAAGTCCCTAGATAGACGGCGGACCCAAGTCGGCCGAAGCAAGGAATGCATGCACGGGTGGGGTTACAGCTCGGAGAGCGCATGTCCGTGTGGTGTCTCTCCCCAGACAATGGCACATCTTTTGTCCTGCCCTGCGTGTCCGTACACCTGCACACGCGAGGACCTGTACAACGCCACTGATAATGCTATCTCAGTCGCTAAGTACCGGTCCTCACAAATATAAACGCCAGTGTCGACACGCCAAGACGAATTGGATCAGTTTTAGGGGATCACATAGGAATAACCCCGTTCGTCTCGTGTCAGCGCTCCGAGCTCAAGCGGAAGCGAAACGTGCAACGTTTTTTCTGCTCTTATTGCAAGGACAAGTTTTTTTCAGCTGATTCCGTCTTAATAAATGTGGTGACTTAATTGTCCCTCGCTATAATGTGTTCTTTTTTTTTAAATATGTCAAAAAGCTTGATTAACATTAACAACTGTTTCTATGTCAAGTTATATTTACTGCTTGCTCATTATACTGTACCTGCAACCAATCCACGATTCTCTTGGCGAAAGCTGGTGTGAACTGCCAGACTTGCTGCATAGAAAGGCCGTCCATGTCGAAGATCACGACTGCCCCACAGATCTGAGACGCTGGCTCCAGCATAGCTGCTTCGAGGAACAACACACAGCCCTTGAACACCTCGTCCAGCGAGCATTTATTATGCTTCCACTTCTCTGCAAAAATCAATTTAATAAAGTAAGTAGGTGTCACTAGTTTTCTTACCACTGTAACGCGTTTTTCTTTTCCTGGTGGCCGAGGAAAAAAATAACCACTTATATCATATAAGAAATCTGTTATTACTGATACTAATACAGTCTGCGATAAAAGAATTGTTTCAAATTTTATCAATGATATTGAATTGTTTTATTGTTTGTAAAATAACTTCACTAGTTTGTTATAATGATTAATACGCGACCACGGGATTCCGTCGCCATTGCTTTACCAACTAAGCTAAGTCTTCAAATTTCTTCTGTGTTTGTTATACTTTGGATCTTTGTATCGAGTTTTCGGCTTTCGATACCGTCTGTGAGAGATTTTATGAACAATCTCACTTAGCCTTTAAAAGTGATCCCTGCAGTATTTTTTTCACCTTTATATAGCGTACCCATAAACCGTTACAAAACCCTGCAATATTACACTTTTAAAGCTATGACATACATAAAAACATTATTGTTTAAAATTCTATACAATATTAAATCCATCAAGATAAACGAAATGGAATGAAGATATCAAGGACAATGGCGTTCCATTTGTCCAAATTTCATGATCACAGACTACTGTTGGATGTTAAAAAAAGAAAATTCTGAAAAGTATCAGAGAAAGTTTTGATGGTAAGCGAAAAGTTACTACAGAGACTTATGATTTACGTTATGAAAATTACAAATCATGTTATGTATTGTAATATTTGTTTGTTTATTGTTATTATTGTTTTATGTAGTTCACTAATAGTAAAATTAAAAGAAATATGTATAAAAATTGTGTTTAAGTTCATTTATCTTAAATTTTTCTCTTTTTTTGTAGACAAACCTATGTTATTATATAAAATAAAATTTACGTTATTTTGAAATCAGCAGCAAAATCTACATAAAAATTGGTAGGTAGGAAAGCTTTAATAACCACAATTTTATTACAACAAAATGTTGAATGTTATATGTACGTACACTACGTCATATTAAACAATAAAAACTTGCAATTTCGTATTTAATGCTATATGATTTCCTGTCGTTTATGATAGCAGTTTTGCTGTGATGGGGCGGCGTTGTTTACATAATAATTTGTAGCCTCTTTTCCGGTATCAAAGGTCATGGTGTAACTTTTGCTGTTGTCTTCTATGTAATAAATAAGTTGCATAGTATGGAATTTAATGACTTTGTATCCTTTTGTGTATTCCCAATCAACTAAAAGTGCGTAATCCGTGGCAGCCTAATTGTTTGACCTATCACCTCTCAAGCAGATGGTTCGAATCCCGACTTGCACCTCTGAATTTTTAGAAAATTATGTGGTAGAAATGTAAGTTATTTACAATGGTATGTGTCGCTTTATTGTGGGTACTGGGAATTATGGAATAAAAAAAAGGTATTTTTATATAAAAAGTGTATGTTAGTGCAAAATATTTGTGTGTTTTGTGTATAATGATGTTCATTATGACAGAAAGTCAATGTAAATTAATTTAAATATAAAATCTTTATTACCGTGTTACATGTTAACCCCGTAGATTTTCAATATATTTTTACATGAAATAAAATGTGGTTTAAAACTGCATAATTTAAAACTAATGTGGTTTTTGTACGCAAACATCCATTAACCGGGTCAGATTGTGGGCCATGATTTTTACCATGAAATTTTCAGTGAAGGGTAACATCGCGAGGAAACTTGTACACATCTACAAAGCAATTTAATAACGGGTGTGAAGTTCCCAATCCGGTTTGGGGCCGCGTGGGAGTTACAGCCCAAACCCTCCCATTGTGGAAAGAGGCCTGTACCAAGCAGTGGGACTATACATGGGCTAACTATTATTATTATTATAATCAACAAAAGCCCGAGCTTTGGGGCTAGACTATTTATATTCATATTCTTTATTTGCAAGTTACATGGTTATACGTATAACAGGTGTTCTTATGCTAATGGTACTTGACATGTAACAACCCTTGGGGGTACTGCAACATTCTGAGGGCACTATGTCCTTACTTACTAACTACATTATTAAAATAAAATTAGGAATTATTAATAATAAAAATCTACATTATTAAAATTAAATTAGGAATGATTAATAAAACTAAACAAAATTTTAGGCAATACAATAAATATTAGTAGTTCCTTTTACATTCAGGTCTCATTCCTGATACACTTATGTTTGGCTATTTGACATAATTTTTACAAATTATATACTTGGAAATTCGTATAGTTCTTAAGTATTATTTTCTAATAAGTATTATTTTAGAGAATAAAAAGCTTTACTTGTTAGATAGCTTTTAAGTTGGGTTACAAAGGCCTTATGTACACACATGCGTATACGTACATCTTATGTTTTTATATTTATTGGGATCGCGTTATATATTTTCATTACCATAAAGTAGGGCCCTGAATGGTAATGGTATGGCTAGTCAAGTTCTTCCGTAAAAATTGACAACGACATTGTTAAACTATTTGTTTTTGACAATATAATTTTCTCATCTCGTTCACTAGTTCACTACAGGAATCAAACGTTTACTTTAACAGTGAAATATAATATATGAACTGATGTTTTACCGGATTAACAATTTTCTCAATAGCAATAATACGGATACGATTATAATAAATAAATAAAGTGCCAGACAACTACTTATACCAATTGCCTCAAACTAGGGTCCTTGTACTATGAGTGTCAGAGTAACGGAAATCACTACTAGGCACTTCACAGAACATTCGGAACAGAACCAATTTAGAAAAGTTCATTTCTGAAATTCCCAGTAGGACTCTACCTAGAATTGAACCCTGGTCCTCTACATCTAGCGCTCACAGTGTAAACCGTTAGACCACTGACGTGGTTGAATATAAATGTTAGTGAATGACTTCTAAGGCTTTACCAATTAAAAGAGAACGAAATGAAAATAGTTCATTTGGTAATACTCGGTTTACACATGTCAAAATGAAAAAAAAAAAAAAAATATTGAAGAAACCCAGGATAAAACAGAAAATAAAAATAATTACATTTTAAATGTTCATCCACTCAGCTTTTCATAATGAAACATTGGACCAGACGCCTCGATTTGTATGAACCCGGATATGTAAATAATTATAACTTTATTATAAGCAAAAACCTAACTAAAGTCTCATCTGTTTGCGAAGTGTTAACGAAAAATGGGTGTAATTCAATAAACCGGTTTCATGCCCTAATTTGCTACCCTAAGACGTGAATATTTTCTTCAAATTTGAATGGGACCACTACTCGGGTACCCCCTTTCCAACACACACACACACACAAAAAAAACAGTCGGACTAAAACCTTCTCCTGTTTTTAAGTCTGTTAAAAAGATTATGACGCTACGTCCAAATAGAATATAATATATGTACAAGAAGAAAAAGATAAAGTAAATAAATCTAAATAAGTGCAAATGACAAGTAAAAAATTCGAGGCCGTGTATGACGGGTGGCGTGAGGTATAATAAACTCTATAAACTGATTAGGTGTGTTTTGTGTACTTACAACGTATTTTCATGTATGAGTATCCCGTAGTAAAGTGGCTCTGATTATTCAGTAAGCACATACGTGCGGCTAGTGCTGTTAAATACTTAGGTAAAAAGTAATTTCTCTGTGGAGTGTAATAATTTGGTGTTATTACTGATACAAAGAAAAAAATCTTCAATCCGGCTGGATTCGAACCAGCACTTATTTGCCAGACCGGAGCTAACCGCTAATCCAATTGAGCCACGAAACAAATCAGCAGATGCCACGAATTACTTCATGCTTGTTGGCGATCATTGTTCTCTGATTTAAACGACTGTTTTGCTGTAGCCATTTGCAAGAAACCAATGAAACATTTTCTTTCAAACAAATCTTGAAAAAGTTGTTTTTTAATTTTGCATGTGGGAGAAATTCAAAGAAATAATTTTCTGTAGGTACTTAACAACAATTGAACACTGTAGGTAGTCTAAAGTCAATATTAGCTTTGTCTTTCCAGGTTTAAAAAGACTACCGGTTGTCCTTTAGGTACTGCATGTTTGACGTCATATGAACGCTAATGTCACTAATATAATTAACATGTTCATGTGAAAAAACTTACTGCCAAGTTCAAGGACGAGGACCCTTCGGCCAAGTTGATCTCGCGTAGGCAGAACCGTCAAAATGTTCTGGTTGAATACATTCTGTTCTTTGCTGGGAGTCAACCCGTCGTACACTTTGTGATGCTTTATTTTGAAGGCATAGTAACGTTTTATCTGGAAAAATATGACAAAAAGAAAATTTAAAATAGTGAATCTTAAACAAGTCAATTCGTCAAGTAAAGCAGGCAAGTTAGTTACGGACCTTGAAATTGAGGCTCTATGCTTGAATTTCGTATAGATTTTTTGTCATTTTGGCATTGCTAGTAGAAGAAATATAAAAACTGCGGATCCAAACGTAGGATCTAACAAACCAGAAAAAGTTTTTGTAACAGACATTGGATTTGAAACGTACCAGGAAAAGCTTACGTATACTCAATATTTTATCATATCAAGTGAAACCTCTAAAAATCATACAAGAACAAAATTTAATATATACAAGAAGACAATTCTTAAATATCATTATTCTATCAATAAAACTATTCTAATACTTTATTATTATTTTGAAAAAAAGCATTGGAGTAACGACTAAAAAAATTTGCTAAATACAGTAGCCAAACTTTTGATTGACGTCATCAAGGTTTAGGTGGAAGCTTGTTTAAAAAGTACGCTTTATTTGTTTCGTTTTAAGTTACTTGTGATTTTTACCGTTTTTTAAGTACACACGCTAGCACATCAAGCTACACATTGACGTATCTTGTTCCGTTGCAATGGAGGCGATTTTCGAACAAAAATGAGTAGTCTGATGTGCCGTTGTTCGTACGTAACTTAATTTATAAATAAGTATGTAAGAAACCCTTTATTCCAGAAATGAAACGAATGAGAAGTGAGCGAACGAATCATTATCATCAACATTTCAGCCTTGTTTCACCCACTGCTGGGCATAGCTCTCTTTTCGCTTCTGCCAAACATTCCGGTCCTGTACGTCTCTGCTCCAGGTTTTGCCCACGACTTTTATTATGTCAACGACCCAGCGTGCAATATTCTCCGATCTATCCTTGGCCTTCACTCTCTCAGAGTCTTAACTCCAGCGGCCATCACCACGTCTAACCAGATGACCCGCCCAAGTCCACTTAAGGTCTATAACACGGTCCCCAATATCTTGAACTTTCGTCGCATTTCCGAGGGAACGAATAATAAACTTAAATATTAAGTATACGCAAGGAGGTCCAGGAAAATTCTTACAGCAAAGACCATGGTGGGAGCTACACTGTCAAGACCAAAGCTCATAAAATAAGCAACCAGAGTCCCAAGTCCGCTAATTTTAAATCACCACAGTTGTGTGTCGGATAGAGTGTCAATGGTAGGATTTTGTACATTTGGTATTCTGTTAAAAGTTAAAGTAGACGCTTGTCAGTGGCTAGCCACCAAGCTAACTATCCAGCTGCCATTGCAATTTTTTGGTATTCTGCTCTTCAATGACGAATCGATGGCACGTCTGTGGCGTAGTGTATTAATTTTATATGTATTTTATTAGCAGACTAAATGGTTGTTTAAACGAGATGAAAATTTAATATATGTATAGTAATTTCCATGTAAGTTTTAGTAAGGCAACATTGACCGTTAGTAAGTGAATGAGTGAATCTGCCATCACTGACATTCCACTAGACTCAACTGCCATTGTAACTGGACTTTAACAGAATAGCAAATATTATCGTAATGGCAATGTAATCCCAAAGGAGACTCAATGGAATCACAATGAAATAGAAATACTACGTTAAGATAAGATGGATGAAATTTTGCTGCCACACATTGGCAACATTTCTTTAGACTTGGGTATGCATAGCCTTTAGATTTAAGTTACATCTTCACTGAAATGGCATTAATTAGTTTTAATAAAACACTAAAAAAAAATTGGCTTACCAAATCGTAGGCACTCTCGGGGTAAAACTTGCAGGGGCGCAAGAATCTGATCAACCAGGCGTCGTTGTCCAACGGCACGTGGAGTTCTTTGTCCGCTGTAATAAAACACATAATCAAACGCATTGTATGTGTTATTTTAACAAGACATATTTCTAGTTCGTCCTGTTTTTTTGTGATCAGTAGCTGATCGTATCTTCTTACGAGGAATGTAGTTATCTGCTAGGCGCTACAACTAACATAGAGTAAAGTTCCTTGTGAAAGAGTCCGTCCAGGAAAGAAATGCCACCTTACCTATTTTTGCCACCAAGCAGTAATGTGAGCATTAGTGACTCGGAGTGGCACTGCAATTGCTATGGACTGGCGTGTCGCTTAACTAGGAGCGTGACTTGTTCTTCATAAAAAAACATAATAACACGTCTTATATAACCAATCAGAAGGATACGTACATATGCTTCTATTATTACGTTATGTGTTGCTAAAATTGATCGCAAGTGTCATTGACTTACAATTATAGCAAGTGTTCATTTTTTGTTTATATTCACAAATATCGTTCCACTAATATAGCTGTGACATCATGATTTGACATGCAAAACTAGTTAACACATTGAAAACATCTTAAATAACCTGTCAGTTATAGTATGGTTATAGTTGCAAATGCGTAGACGTGATTGCCTCTGTGGCCGAACGGTCGCCATGCTGGACTGCCACGCAGAGATCCCCGGGTTTGATCCCGGGCCGGGAGAAATATTTGTATGGCCTATATTTAATTATCTCGTGAGTTTGGGTATAATTTATGGTTGTCTATGTGTGTATCCATGGCACCCGCGATGCAGGGTTTTCCTTGTGCGAGGCTATGTTGAGTGTGTGCGTTACTATTATTATTATTAATTTGTCGTCAATAACTGACTTGCGGGGTGTGCGGAGGGATGAATTTGCTACTGCTTCCGCGTCGTGCGGCGAAACCTGGGGGTTTACTCTCGATCTCCGTCCACCATCAGTCCGAAACAATTATTGCCAAATGAGCAATACTTGACCAAAGGAAAAGACGCGTGATGCGAATGAAGCTTCATTCTTGATAGGAGAGGAGCTATGAGTGTGTGCGTATTTATTATTATTGAGAACACTAATATCGCAGTGACTCTGTACGATGGTATGTACGAGTACGTCATACCCTTGAATATAATAGTCAGTGGGTGCAATTCATTCGATGTAATAACAAACGACATAATTAGTAATACAAAGATCGAAAGCTTAAACAAATCCATTCGATCCATATGGATTCGAACCAGCGTCTTCTAGCAAACCGTGCTAGACGCATGGCAAATAAGCCACGGAACGAACCAACGGACCTTACAAATTGTTCTACAAGCTTGTTTTGGTTTTTAACGCCTTTTTTGCCGTAGCGCCATCTGTGAGAAATCTATTTCGTCTTACGACAAAAAAGTTAACAAGTAATGAATTAGTGTTATACAGGCATTTAACATATTCTTACATGTTATAAAGTATATTTTGGATAGTATAATAAACGATTGATGTAACAGCCCTCAAAAATTGGTCGGTGCAAACTAGTACACTGATTGTGTTCATTATATTATGAACATTTCAGATGTAACTTTAATTGAGCGTGATTGCCAATTTATTCACTTAGGCGCTTCAACTATTTGTAAAACGAAATAATCCGGGTCATGAATGAGCGAGCTGTAAATGTAACGTGACAGATACAGTAACGAAGTTCTAGAGTGTACACGTGCAACAGTCTTCACTCGCTATAATGTGTACCAGCTTATCGTAGGCTCACTGCGCAATGCATGCGTTGCGCTAGCGGCAAGCTCGCGCGACTCACGTACACACTATGATTTTTGATAATGCAACGATTACGGTTACAATTGACGGGTGTCGTCAATAGTTACACTTCAAGTCGACCAGTTTAACTTGAGTTGTGCTTTAATGGCCCAAAATTGAAAAAAATACATATTTAATTACGGATGAAATGTGATTCCGTTTATTTTGAAATTAGAGGTTTTGTTGTTTTTCCCACAATTCGTGATTTCAGCGCAAACGAGAGTTGATGTTGCTGTGAGTGACACTGCAACTGTTATGGACAGGCGTCTCGCTTAACACAGGCGCAAGATTTGTTCGTCCTGTCACTTGTTCGTCCTGTCACTTGTTGTCATAAAAAATATCATAAAAGTCGCAAGTGCATGTAATTTCACCAGCACCCTTACCCTTCCAAACCGGAACGCAGTATAATGATCATTTTACTTTTTGGCGGCAGAAATAAGTATGGTGGCATTACTTCCTTGGCTGAACTCTTTCACAAGGAGCTCTACTGCTAGGGTAGAGCAAGCATTATAATGTATGATGACATCGATACGATAAGAAGAGAAAGATACTGAAGGTCTTACTCTTATTCATTCATTAATTATATCCCATATTCTTCGAAATTGTATCAAATATCGTTTTACCTAGTGAAAATGGTTCATTTGTTGTAATATCGAGCATTACACGCCTAGTCAGTTTTCAATACCGTACCGATTACCGGTACCAGGCGTCTACTACCAAAAGTAAAATCCGATATACGTAGCTGCGTACGTCCTTCGTTTTAATATTTTTTTACTATGAAACGCGTTATGTGCCCGATTGTGGAACAATTGCGGAATGAAACACGTGACTTATATGGGTGTCCGACATCGGACGTTGATAAAGCTACTACGAAAAGCCATTTTGACAGGATTTTGACAACGTGTATCGGACATCATAACCTCAACACGTCATACTAAATATGAAGCAACGATCATCATTTTAGCTTCGTATCGGACCTGGAAGTGACGACGAGTCGGAGATCGTAATTTGACACAAGTACTTGCGGATACCTTACTCCGAAACGCCAAATGAGAGCTTTCGTGTCGTATTTTGACATTATTATCATCGTAGAACTGACATAAAACCAACGGCAGTTCGAGCGGTATCGTTTGTACATCGTTTGTGAAAAAAAATCGTGACTACTGCTGGTTGTGAAGGCGCTCGGACAAGAAATAAGTGAAGATGAAGTAGAGAGACGACGTCAAAGGAATCGCAGTTTCTTGGTACCGCTTACTGATGGCAAAGTTGTAAGCGATTACCGGCTCGCTGCGAGAATTTTGTATAATCTTTTTGAGGATGTAACACGCAGGGTGTTCAAAAATATTCTAGGTTTATTGACCCCACCACCACCAAGAAAAGTTATCTCTCTATCTGCATATGTGGTTTGTATGTCAGATAGCACATTATGTTCATTCGTAAGCATGTCTTAGATTGCGTCGTACACAAAGTAGTAGAAACTTAAGAAACGGAAGTGGTAGATCCGCCTACAGGAAGAATAATAGAGGCATCCCCCAAGGTAGCTTCTCTTTCTGTTTTACATAAACGATCTTGCAAGATATATTAGTAACCAAATGGTATTATTTGCAGACGATAGCACTGCTGTTGTAAAGTGTGAAGACAAAGAGCAATACAAAGGTGACATTAATAAAACTATAAGTGACATCATAGGATGGATGAATGGAAATGGTCTCAGTATAAACCTAACAAAACTAACATCATGCAATTTCACTCGTCTAAAAGACTACCGCTAGAGTTAAACATCTCGTTTAATCGTGTTAATATAGAACAAGTTACACACGCAAAATTTTTGGCCCTATCCTTGACAGCAATTGCAACTGGAAAGGTCATGTTGAGAACTTGTGTAACAAATTGTCACGGTTCTGTGGATGCGGCCTTAACAGCTTATTTTGGTTATGTGCAGTCGGTTATAAATTACGGTATAATTTTTTGGGGAAACTCAGTAGAGTTTATGTAGGTATTTAAGATACAAAAACGCTGTGTACGCATCATTTGTGGTGGGTCTCAAATGGATTTGTGTAAGCCATTTTTCGACAAGTGCATAATCTTTGCTTTACCGTGCCTGTACATTCAGGAGGTTGCTGCATTTGTCCAGAAATATCCGTCATATTTTGAAGTCGCAGATAAAAGGAACCATAGAAGTTTAACACATGGGCATAGAATGGTTTACTCGGGCAATCATACCCCAGCATTTTACCACAAAAGCTTTTATGTGATGTCGGTCAAAATATACAACAGCGTTCCGAATGAATTTAAAAGATTAGAGTACATAAAATTTAAAAATGCTCTTAAAAGTTTATTATAGTATACAAGAGTTTTTTGACTACAATAACAAATTTGGTGACTAGCGATGTGACACGTTAATTGATTTTTTATTTTTTTCTCACATTGTGTATGTAATTTAATTTTATTCTGTGACATTTAAATAATATTGTACACTTTAACTGGTAGACTATAGAGCACAAACCAATGTTATATTTTAAAACCTTATGTTATTACCTATAGGGTAAAACCGGGATAGATGCTGCAGTGGAATAGGTTAACTTCCCCAAATCGCAACAAAAAATAATTAGTTTAAATAAGGAGTATAGATACCACTCATCAAAGTTCCTGTAGGACTTCGTGTGGAATAGACGCGTCTAGCTTATGCATGCGTTTATCTCCGCGACGAACACGACAAAAGGTTCAAAAATTCAGACGCAAGTATTTACTGTTGACGTTTACGGGATGTAAGGGGGCACACACCATCACAGCTCTTATTGTCAACCTCACCTGCACGCGGTACATCCTGCAGTAACCGACGAGGCTCTGGCGACCGGTAGTAGGCGATATAGCCCTTCCCCACATTGGCGCTGTCAAATCTGCTGGCTACCGACGGGCAGCAGCGTCGGTAGTACAAAGGCAGCGCCCTGCGATCTCCAACCCGCATGCCCAGCGTGGAGATTATGGGCAATAACCCCCTTCATGGACGGCACAACCAATCGAAGGCCCCCAGTTCCCGGTCGCCCCGCTATTCCTGGTCACGGTAGCGGCCATGGTACCGGCGGGGTAGGGGGTGCTAAGAATCCCCGGGCTACCGTAGGCTACCAAAAACAACTGACCCTGGCTACGTTTAACGGACGAACTCTTAGGCTTGACGAACACCTTGCACAGTTGGAAGTGGAACTGGAGAACATTAGATGGCATGTTCTGGGGCTGTGTGAAGTCCGAAGAG